TTAAACCCTTGTATGCTTGTACCTATTTAGACCGTAGCATCTCTTTGGTTCTTGCGGTGACAATCGCACCGCTAAGAACCCTAGGGATGTCTTAGTGCATTTAGTGCACCTAGGTCGTGGTACCCTACAAGTAGCTAGGCACTTGTGTTCTCTTGTGTGTCGCTCCTTTCGATGCCTTGTCTCTTGCCATGGCGTGTGGATTGGAAGAAGTAGACCACCTCCCTTCTCTTCTCTCCCCCGTTCCACCTTCTCTTGGTTCTCGTCAATTATAATGGTGTAAGGATTGAGAGAGACCAGAACTGCTACCTTTCCCCCTTATCCACTCTTTTCGATTCCCGTCAATCTCCATGATGCTCGGATTGGAAGACAGCTAGCCATGGTGTTCGTTTAAGATGAGCTATGGTCTATGCCATTTTTATTGAAGCCGTATAGGTCGGCACGATCGACCTCGGAAGTACTGGATAGGCTAGCACTTATGCTTGTTCTTAGCAAACAACCACTTCTGTTTCTTTGGCCCAGGGATCGGACATCCATCGAGAGGGCTAAGTCATTTCCCCTTGGTGTTCTTTTGGTGTAGTTGTTCTTCCGTGTCTTGTTGCCTTTTTGGAGTATTGATTGCTTTTTGCATTGTTTGTCGCTCTATAGAGGTAGTTACATTGAGGATAACGTCGATCAGACTGGAACCCGTTCGAACGACAACAGGACCATGAGGAGAATGGCTACGAGTACACTGAGGACCTCGGACATAACCAATCAATAGGTGCCATGTCTCACCCAACCTAGTGGAATCCTATTTGACATGCAATAATGTAGCTGCTAGTGCTTTACTTTCATGCAAATGATCTGTGATAGATTGCATGGCAAATTACTTGAAAGCTATTACCTTGACGCAACCTTTACCCCTGCACACCTGCTGTTAGGATAGACGCTCGCATACTACTTACTACTTGCTTCTACTACGCATTATATCTGTGATGTGGTGATTGGTGGAGGATTGTTTGTTAGTGGATAAGGCACATTGTGCCGCTAAAAACTGGTAACAACTTGGGGAGATCTTGGCATGCGTCTTGGGTGTGTGGTGAGGGTTGAGTCGACTGGACATGATTCTACGATGAGTCTTTGGACAAGTCTTGCCAGGGGAATGCGACCTGGGCATTCCCTATGAGAGGTACCTATGGCGGGTACATGTGAGATGAGGAAGCCCCGGGATGGAGGTGTCGTCGAGGCACGGGGCATTGGTTCGCCCCTTTAGATGATGTCATGTCCGGTCCCCCTAAGGACTGGTATGTCGAGAGAACCATATCATAGGACCCTACGTACACACCACTCGTCCCTGGTTGGGCGAGGGACGGATGTTGACCTACTAGGGCGGTGCCACTACAGCTAGGTTGTTAGTTGATATTGTAGGGAGGTACAGGCGTATGGCTCACACCCTCCTAAGTTAGCGTAGTGGCCTCTGGTGGCCCGGTACTACGTCTCACAGTCTCAGCATGCCGGTGGACTCCGGGATGGCCCAGGGCTGAATGGTAGGGTGGTATCGCACTAGTTTGGGAGACAGCTCGGTGTTAGCCTAGGCGGGGTGCTCCATCGATGATGGTGATCTTGTGGTTCCACGTGTACACGCTCTGCAGAATTGATCGATCTATACATATAGTTGTGTCCGTGGATATGGACATTCCCATGACCTACGCTTCTCTTGATTAGTGAGAGGTGCCCTTTCTTCTTCTCCCCCTGGATTTGTTGGACTTTGGCTATTAGCCGATAAGGCAAGGTACGAGATGGAGTCATCCTTGCCACCTAGAGAGTGAGAGTGTGGTCAGATGTGTGTGATGGGATGGGTGAACAAGTGGATGAGATGGTTTAAAACTTGATGAACTATTATAAAATATTGATGAACTTGCATTGGAAACCTATAGCCATATATAGGCCTTTTGCTCTACCCTTGCGTTCCACTTACCACAAAGCATACGCAAACTATAGGGTCGGAGCCAGTGGCCAGTACAAATCATACTGAAAGATATTTGGCAGGTTTTTGATGTCACCTACGATGACGACAATGAAGGTTAGAAGGATTAGATGGTCTCGTTCCTATGCTCAAGTTTGGTTGACGAGATGAAGTCTACGCCCGCTAACATTCTACGCCTACTCTAATGATTGCCCGTGAAGGAGGAGCCTTCACCCACCGACGCGCGACATCAACTCTGATGAAGATCTGTGTGCGTTTCGCTAGAATAACAATGTTCTTAGGTGTGTTATCAAGTGTTGTAATGCCTTGTAATCTTGTAATTCCATGATGTATGATTGTGATATCAGCTGAATAATGATAATATGATAGCTTGGTCTTCTGGGATTATCATATTATGATGTAATCTGTGGATTTCCCTTCGAGAAAATCGTGGATCATTTTAGTGAAGCTGCCGGATCGTCTTCATTGGTAAACAAATCCCACAGCTCTTGGGCGATGTGGAAATGAACTTGAGGGCCACACTTGTGCTCCTTGCTCCATTTCTCCCCGCACTTTTAGCATAGGCCCAAGGCACGCCGATACGTCTTGATCGCAGCGAGCTTGTTGTCGATGGAAGAAGCAGCTTGTGACTCAGTAGCAACGGATGTAGGCTGCTGCTTGTCGACACGTGGAGGAGGAGGAGGCAGAGGCAACGCCGTCTTGGGAGGAAACTTGCTCGCTGATGTCCAGTCAGCCTTGAACATGGTGCAGGTTGATGAAGTAGTGCCCACCTCTTCCTGCACCAAAGCCATAGAGATGGCAGCATCCAATGTTTTGGGATGAGAAACAAGAATGATCGCTTTAAGTTCAGGGTGAAGGCCATCTATGAACCGCATAGTGTAAAAGAGGAGATCGGTGGTGGCGGAATAGGCCTTGAGCTGATCAACGAGTTTGGTAAAATGCTCGACACACTCGGTGACAGTAGAGGTTTGTTTAATCTGGAAAAGCTGGCGTATCAAGGCCTCATGTTGGTCACGATCGAAACAATCATGAAGAGATTGACAAAAAGCTGTCCAGGTAGCTACGGCTGGTGTGTTATCGATGGACTCAAACCAGCAAGAAGCATTGCCTTCCAAATACATGGAAGCCACGCTAACCCACACAGAGGGATCAACTGCGTTTATGTTGAAGTATTTCTCGCAATTAGAGCACTAGAGGCGGGGATTTTCACCATTGAATTTGTTGAAAGGAAGTTTAGGCAGGCGACCGGTGGGATGAGTGGTATGGTTGTGATGGTTAGGGGAAGGCGATTGGAACATAGGAGGGTGAAATGGTGGGCGAGGTGGAATGATGACCGGAGGTGGAGGGCGATAGGAAAGTGGAGGCGGAGGACGTGGCATGGCGGACGAAACAGGGGTAAACTCTAAGGTAGGAGCTAGATGAGGATCCGGAGGCTTACCCATGACAGGTACATTAGTCCAGGTCGTCACTGTCCCGAACCCAACATCCTGGTGAGATGATGCAACGCCGTGCCCACTGGGCGCATCGACGGTCACATCGGCCAGAGCTCGAGGGGACGTTGAGGATGGAGAAGCACCGACACTGATCTAGGGAGGCTGGGCATCGAACACCTTGTGGTCGTGCACTTGAGACAGCTTCTTCACCTCGATCTTCAGATCATCCACGAGGGCCTCGATCTCTTGGCGCCATGTACCGAGGTCCGTGGCAGCGACTTCGAGGGCGGTGAATCTAGCCTCCAGGTTGATACGCCACGGAGAGCCTCCAGGTTGGAGAACCCGCTTGCCGATGTCAAAGGCGAGGTCGGACTAGGTTGATTCGAGGACGTCGAAGCGCTTGTCGGCGGCGGCAGTGCGGTCGGCGCAGGCATTGTCGAGATCGGAGAACCGACGCGACCACTGCTCCTCGTTGTCGTCGAATCGGCGATTGAAGTCGTCCTTCTACTTCTGAATCTCATCGAGGATGATCTTGAGTTGTGGATCCATGGCTCCTAGGGTTAAGCGGAAGCGGGTGAAGTGATCGTGGTGGATCTCGTGGGGTTCCAGCTCGACTGGGTTGGCGCCGTCAAACACAACGACCTCGGCACGGACCTATGGGATCCCGCGAATGACACCGAAGTGAAGAACGAGCATCAACCAGCCGTCGGGGATTACGTTGCCGGATCAAGGCGTAGCGAACAGGGAAGACGAGCAGGATCAGGAGTGGCGAAATCCGATACCAATTGTGAGCCAGGGATGCCTTACTCGGGAAGAAGAACAGGGAATATGACGAACTGAATGTATAACTGAAAGTATTAACGATACATGAAGTGCTTAATTGTAAAAATGAACAACTGGTTACATTCAGGTCTGCCTCTCTCCACTCTCTCAGCTAGGTACTACTCCTACGCTTCCCATTCTGGTCCAGTGACCTTGGCGTTGGGCCGGTGCTTGCGGATGGGCCAGGCCTGCTCCTTCGATGATGTGTCTTCAGAGTATCAGGCGACGAAGTGTTGACAGGTTGCTAATGGGATCACGTGCTGGTCTGGTACGTGGACAGTGAGTGTATGGCTCAACCCATTATAGTTGAAACTCGATGCTACTAAATCACATGTGGCGCATTTACAAATGTCTCGCATGCAAATAAATGAGTGTGGTGCAGCAGCAGCGGAATTGAGTTTCTAGTTCGGTGGATCTGATCTATAGTCTGCCGTATTACCGTTATAAAATAGTCTGCAAGTTGTATATGCAGCCATTTAGCCGGCTCCTGCTAGTTGGCACCAACCTCAACCTGCGCTCCATCCGAAACAAACAAAAATGCTAAGCTGTATATCTTGGCCCGATGCGGCCTGGATGTTCACGACATCTTCAAGATAGTTATTAACTGGAACAAGGACTTGTACGTACTGTGCCAAATGTCTTCACAATAGTGCAATGTCAACTATACAAGCCTCCAAGAGACTAAGACAAAAAAAAATGCAGTATCACCTAGTATTACATATTAGCCTTGAAATAAGAACCGGCCATAGCTCCCAACTTCCCACCTTGTGTGCAAAGAAATGGCCTTCTCGGACTCAGAGAGAGCAGCAGCTACTGCATCGCTGCTCCTGCGGGTTCTCACGCTCCTCCTCCTCGTAGCTTCTATAGTCATTCTAGTGACCAACAAAATATATGCACCGTTTAGGAATGTAGTAGACCCACCAAATATCACCTTTCGGGACTTCTACGCATACCGGTGAACTTCGTCACCTCCTCTCCTAACCTGTCAATTTCTTTTCTGTTGTGGATTTATAGTTGCTCAGTCTTAACCTCGTGTGTATTTGTTCTTTTATTTTTTCAGGTATGTTCTCTCTGCTGCTGTCATTGGAGGTGCGTACACTTTGCTAGTGCTTCCGTTCGCCGCCATCCATGTGGCCCAGGAGAGGAGAATTGGGCGTGATCGTCGTGCGATAGCTCTCCTTATTTTTACTGATGTCGTAAGATCGATCTCCACTGCCTATAGAGATACAAAAGGGCATCTTTTTTTTCGTTTTGTGAGGAGGACATCCCTTCATTCGTAACACTCTGCTTTATTTCTTAAGGTCAGTTTGGATCTCATGCGTTGAAACAAATATCTAAAAACTACTTATCATTTTATAGTAGTATGCATTATTTTTCAATTTCTTTCAATTCTTGGGAGCCAAACAGGCAATAGAGAAAACATCGAAGTTTTTTATGCCATTCCTACAATTAATATATCTTTATTCTATTCAGAAACCAAAATCTTCTTTCTCCACCAAAACCTTAAATTTGAATCGAAAACCTTTGGTTCGCACTTAGGAGTAGCATCAGTGACTGGCCCGTTCGCTTCGCTGAAAAAACAAGCCGAAATACTATTCCGGCTGATTTGTTGTGAGAGAAAAAAACTGTTCCGGCTGAAAAAACAAGCTGAAAAAAATAGATTATAAGAGAAGCTGAAAAACATTGTTCCGGCTAAAATGCTTAGTACTAATTGAGTGGATGTCTGCATGCTGCAGGTGTTTGCTGTGCTGATTGCCACAGGAGCTGCCGCAGGCCTTGGTCTGACTGTTGAATCCCAGCGTTTTCCACAGGGTCCGGATTTCGCGAATTTCTTTAAACTGGTGGACGTCTCGTGTGGTTTGATGTTGGTGGCTACTCTCTGCATGGTCATCATCATTATGGTTTCTGTTCGCTCGATCAACTAGCTAGAACAAATCCTTGCGTAAATAAATCTTCTTAGACAGAAGAACAAGTTTCTAGCCTATGCACAAAACTCTTACAAGAAATGAACCAATTTGATCCCCACTATTTTTTCGCAGGGGTCCTCTTTTGTTCATGTACTTATTTGTATTGGCAATAGGAATGAAATCTATTTGTATCGGATATCTATACCCGGGTATCCGAGCCAAAAGATTAAAAAGCATCACGTCGCCTCATCCGATGGTTAAAGACGCAACCACGGCCTTGTCCGACTCCGAGGACGAGGTTTCCGCCTCATCCGACCCCAGGGGCCGGGCAAAGTCTCGTCCAACGCCGAGAACGAGGTTTCCGCCTCGTCCGACCCCCAGGGGCCGGGCCACGTCTCGTCCGACGCCGAGGATGAGGTTTCCGCATCGTCCGACCCCCAAGAGCCGGGACACGCCTCGTCCAGTCCCACAGGGAGGACCCCGCCTTGTCCGACCCCTGGGGTTCGGATTTCGTCTCGTCCGGCTCCCAGGGAGAGATTTCCACCTCGCCCGATCCTTACGGGATCGGATCTGCTATCGGACCAAAGCAGTGGTCCTAGGGTAGGGCTCGAACAGCTTCAACCACTACAGCATGGAAGCGCACGCTCGGGAGCACGTCTTGGACGTGTCCTGATGCGACTGGTGGTCACATTGGGCCATGCTAGGAAACTTGCGTCACCCATCGCGTCAATAGGCCAGCACTGTGCTGTCAACTCTCTGCCTGACCACCGTCCAACGTCAGTCAACCGGCATTAGTTGACTGGCACTGTACCGCTAGCCCCCCGCATGGCTTCTGTCAGGGGACCCTCTGACCATTCCGTCCGCTCGGATAGAACGGAAGACAAGAAAGGCGCACGACGCCCGCACGTAAGCTGCAGCGGCCAACAGGACCTCGGTACGACGCTGCTGCCACCACGATCTACAGGGTTAGCGGGACCCACACGAAGAGGAAGACAGCACACCTCTGGGAGCCTTATTTCTCTTTCCTTTCTTCTCCTCCCTTCGGTTGTAACCCCCGCTTTCCCTTGACCTATAAAAGGGAAAGCAGGGCATCCGACTAGGGGATCGACTCATCGCACATCGATTCATCGAACAAACACACCACATCACACCAGAGACTTGGGAGCCACCTCCCTCTCTCTCCAGTTTGTAACCCCATACTACAAACTCAGTGCTAGTAACACGAGCTGCCCGAAACTGGACGTAGGGATATTCAGCCCGAACCAGTATAATCCTTGTGTCCTCTTAGAACACCATCCGGGTCAGACGCGTAATATACAAATTTACTAGCCGGTGCCTACTCGAAACACCGACAGTTGGCGCGCCAGGTAGGGGTCTTTTGTGCATTTCGACATCAACACCAGGCCTCGGATGGCTAGTCACGACATCAGCTGGGTCCCGGGCGCACACATGCGCTTCGGGGACCTGGACTACATCGTCACGGCGGAGGGAGAGCTGGCACGAGTGCCCATCATCGCCCAACCCCTCCACTCCGCTGGCCTCAACACGATCGCCGAGGCGCTCGAGGAGCTGCGGCTGCATGCGCTAGAGGCCCGCGCCCCCGGGAGCGGCTAGCTCCTCGACTTTGACTACGGGAGGTTGGAATGTCAGCTCGGCGTCTTCCTGGGACCCCAACCGTCCCGGGAAGACTTGCGCCACCTCACCTTCTCATTCACCAATGTCATGACGCCGCTTACTAGTGGAGAGCCACTCTCCCTAGAATACCTCATCTGGGGCGGCCCGATAGTGCTCTGGTTCGGTCTCCGCAAAGCCGCAGAGACCGTTGGCCACCTTGTGGAGCAACGCATGATTCCGTCCCCCATGAGCAATGAGTTCATGGGGGTGATCAAACACGTCGCGGAGTCTTTCCATGACCTCCTCGTAGAGGAACCAGAGTCGCTCTTTGGCTCTGACTCCAGCAGGGGGAGCCATCACCCCTCTCGTGAATGCTTCATGACAGATACCCCCAAGGGACATGTCGAGAGCATCCGTGAAGTGGAGGCTACCCTGACCAACAACCTCGACGACGAGGACGAGGGGGGTGCAGGAGCCCCCCCTCACCTGCGAGTGGAGTAGCTGAAGGCCCGACACCTGGACCTTGAGGAAGCGCGACACTAGCTCGAGCAGGAATGCACAGAGCTCGATCACGAGATCGAGCGCCATGGAGATGGAGGACACGCACACGCCATGGCCCATGACGTGAACTGGAGGATCATCGAGGACGACCAGGCGCTCCCGCGCTTTGCACGGGCAAGCCAGAACATCGCTACTGTAGCAGCCTTGCTCAGGGGGCTTCCAAACCCTGCGACGCCCGAGGATCGACGGGCCCACCATGAGGTTCGAACGCTGCTCGAGCGGGTGGCTGCGCAGCTGAAAGGTCCTTGTGTGGTTTTGTTAATTGAGTGACAACGTAGGTGGACTAATTGTGTTTATGTGAGATACATAGGTGATTAGTCCACAGGTACATGTGTGTGAGCAACATATGCCATGAAGGTGAAAATGGCTTGGAGATGTTGCAAAGCTCACACATGTGACGATGAAGGAGTTCATTGCAAATGAGACATGACATTGAGTCATGTGATCAAGGTGGAGAAGATGAAGACAAGACTTGGCTTGATGGACCGATTACAAGCGTGAAGGGCAAGTCTGAGGCTTTGGAGCGATGGACCGCGTGGCGGTGAAGCTTGAGCAAGACTTGGCGCCGATGGACGAAGGCAATGGTGAAAAGCAAGTGAAGTCAAGATCGATGAACCAATATGATCACGTGATGATATGAAGTGGATCATACCATTGTTGATCATGGTGGTGCATGTGTTGCATCAACATTGGAGGAGATGGAATGGAATGCGCAAGGCAAAGGTATAACCTAGGGCATTTCATTTCACCGGTCATAGGTGTGTAGAGAAGTTGATGACCGGGTTTAGGATAGATGGTCGTACTATCAAGAGGGGCAAACTTGTTTGCATATCGGCCATCTAGTGCCACTCGAGTGATCTAACTTTGCATCGTCGCTAGGATTGAGTTGCGTGGCAAATTGAGTGGCTAATCCTTGGGAAAATGATTGTAAAAATGCTAACACACATGCACATGGTGGTGTACACTCGGTGGTGTTGGAACATTTACAAAGCAGATGAAGTTGGAGTTGATGTGGATCAACTCGGTGATGGAACAGAGGCGAGAAGGGTTCGAAACTCCACCAGTAGAGTGTCTGCCCGTAGAGTGCGGACAGTCCGACGGTGCCACCGGGGCCCTATACAAAAAAGACAGGATTTCACAGAGTGCACCAAACGCTGGTCACGCAGTGACCGGACGCTGGGGTCTTGCATCCGGTCAGTGGTAGCAGAGAACGCACAGGCATCGGTCTTCGACCGGACGCTGGCATTGTGTCGACATAGAATTTTTGTCCCATGCCGAGGACACACGTAGCAAGCCAGAAGGGTCCGCTCAAAACCGCTACTCCGAGGTGACTCGAGAGATTGGTCAGCTCGAGATCCGCCTCGGGGTTTCCCAGGCCGTTCTTCATGTAGCCGAGGAGGAGACCAGCGCCATCCGAGCGCGGCTGGCCGAATCCGACGCCATGATGGCGGGTAAGATGAACTCTATGAAGACTTTTTACTCCGACTTCCATTATCTTCATCTTGATAGTCTTCTTGTTTTTATGATTGTCAGCCCTGACAGCGCAGTTGGAATATCTCCAACTGGCGGCGAATGCGGCCGTAGACGCCATCAATGCCCAGGGTTCCCCTATCGACACTTGTCTCCAAGACGTCCCGGTCCACGTTCAGGAGATCGCCCTCCGTGGCGTTCGTCATGGTGCGGTGGTGGCGCTGACCGCGGCACAAGTCCAGACTAGGTATGAGCTCCACGCCATGGAGACTGGTTTCCCTATGGGCGATGGCCCTGAGGAGCATGAGGACCTGCTTGAAGAATTTGTCATGGCAGCGGAGGCCATAGTAGACATCACATCCGCCCAGGATGTGGTGAACAAGATCTTTGGTTAGATTGTATCTAGGGCCATCTGATGAACAAGGACTCCTGTTATTTTTGTGAATGTAACTCAGTACAATGCTCTTGCGTATGATAGTTTTTATCTTTCATTTTTGCTCTATAAGCGATACATATCGTATCGGCTTTTATTGTCTATGAAGATTTTTATTTTTTTGAACAAGAGGCGATACCCTTCTGGTACCGGCTATTAGAGCCGAGAATGAATCAGCTATCAAATGTTGACCGGGTGTCAGGATAACGTACCATAGAACTTTTCATATCGAAAGTCTAACGATTAATCAACCCAGGTCGAACATCCTATTAAGCGAAACAGATCTTCTTTAAGAAATCCATTAACTCTGAATCGCACTTACACTTGGACTCAGCATTCACATACGCGGCCTAAATCCATCTCCAAGACTCAACGCTTATTTTTCCTTTAATCTAATGGCCGACGTGAAGTCGTGATTTTTCTACTAAAACAAGCTTTTAGAGCCGATCGCTTGCATCGGCTGTTGGCTTTCATTGATGATCTTAATGAAGCCTCCTTCCCATGACTTGCCAGAAAAACATTCGAAGTCTCCTAGTTCCCAGAAGACCGGATCGGCTGTTGCGATGCTCACGGACTCATCAGCGCGAACCAGTTCAACGTCATCTCCATGTCATTAGATCAAACACTGATGCTTGGTTGATGGTATGCAGCAATTCGCATGAATCCAATCACGACCGAGGAGCAAACTGTAAGACCCTTTCCCATCGATGACGAAGAATGTAGTGAGCAGAGTCTTGCTTCCAATTGTTAGTTCGACATTTATTGCCCCCGAGTCTTAAACGTATTACCTCCAAAATCCTTAAGCATCATGTCAGTCTCCATCAGATCTTCTGGTCCTTTGTCAAGTTTATGAAAAGTACTATAAGGCATAAGATTGACAGATGCACCTCCGTCCACCAACATCTTGTTCATCGGCTTCCCATCGACAAGACCTTTCATA